AGGTCAGTGCCGGAAACCGGATTTGAAAGCCTGGTGAATGGGATTCGGCTCTGGTTGGGATTAAGCGTTCTCGCCAGCCTTGCGGACGGCTCAGCCGAATCAAAGTTTGATCCTCGCCAGGAGCAGGACCGCGGCTGAGACCAACCAGCATACAAAATTGAAACTAAAGCAAACAGCGTTAACTTTTTGTTTTCCTTAGCCACCTTTTTGCTTTTGGCCCGTTAAAATATTCGCATCGCGTGCCCCTGGCTTTTTACCTTTATGTCGTGTTTAGCATTAGCCACCCCTGCCCTGCCCCGCCCGCCAGGCCCGGGCCACCAGGATCCGTCGACACATGGAACGTGACTAAGCTGACAATTGTGTCGAAGTAAATCCAAGTTTTGCCAGCCCGACTAAATAAATCTCCTAGGCGAGCGCAAAACTTTGACAAACAAAGATTGTGGATGCGAAGGGCTTTGCAAATGACGCACAATGGGCGTGTCTCCGTCCTGCGTGTGTGTGTGATGGGGAAGGAGGAGGGGGAGGGCGGTACATGACAGGCAACATAAATAGTTGGGCAGGATAGGTGCCGGCGCCCGGGCTTTGGCGTCAGCTTCAGTTTGGGGCCGGTCTCAAATTTAATAAACTGTACACACTCACCTATGCAAAGGATTACTTGACCGGGCAGACGGGCCACTCTCCTGTAAACGCTGACATCTTTATGGGCGGGTGGGTGTGCGGCCTGGCTCTATTTATATGTCAAGCGCAGGCGGCACACAAACTCGCACCCACAGAGGACACAAAGCGGCCTGTGATGGTGCATGTACAAACAGGACAACGCGTACACGCATACAGATGGCCCGCATTATGCCTCCGCCCCGGGGGACGGGTGGCGGGCCTTCGATTCGGGAATGCAGTGGCCCAGGACCAGAGGCCTTTAATACATAGACACGCTCCAAACTAAGCATTCAATTGTCAGTTAGGCGCCTTTTGTCCGCCCTTTCCAGAAAAATACACTTTCGACCTCACGTTGTGTATACGCAGTGGTGCACACGTGGCCGTGCATTAATTTCTAGCCAGTTGGCCCGTCTTGCCGGAAACACAGTTCGTCTTTGATCAGTTAATAGACGTAGGAGCAGGGCCTTCCATCGATTAACCAGTTTCCCAGTCAGGGCCCTGCCAGAAAAGGATTTTAATGGAATTGTCCGTTCTGCATTCCTCTTCTCTCAGCTCCCGCCCCAGCTGGACAGTTGGGGATGGAGCTGTAGTTAAGAAATACTTCAGCAGCTGTCTGCACCTGCTTCCGACTCAGGTTGCCTCATTTTCATTACGCCCGCCCCTGGCCCGCCCGTCGCTATTCCTGGCTTGCAGCAATTCATGCTCAACTGACATTTCAGCTGTCATACCAAAAGTGTTTTACATTTCTCTCTCGTCAGAGCAAGGAGCAGCTAGCGAAGGTGTTGGCATGCCCCTCTCGCCCATTGCTGGCATGCCACAAGCAGCTGGTGTCGCTTTTCGATCCTGCCTCCTCCTTGCTTACTGCTTACTGCTCACTCTTAATTAAATTAACATATTTCTTTCGCAACGTTTCCATTCCGACACATTCCGCAATTCCGCAATTGAAGTCGCATGAGTCATTTCCCCAAATTGTCTTAAAGTCTGGGCCCTTGCGGGAGACTTTTCGGCATGTTGGCTGACTTCCCATTTCTGGTTGCGCTCCTGGCTCTTGGCTGCTGGCTGCCGGCTGCTGGAGAGGAGTGCATTATAATGGCATTAAAATGCAAGCCAAAAAACCATCCCTAAAAAAGGGAGTCCAGGGAGGGGGCGCTGGAGCTGGAGCTGGATGTAGAGGTGGGCAAGGACACAAAGCAAGCCCAGCAGGGAGCACTCGCTTTGTCACACACAAGCACACATTGCGGGAAGCATTTGGCCTCGCAGCATCAAATGTACAATCTCCGAGCGAGCGGGCGACCGACCGACCGACTGACTCCCCCTCTGTGCCCTCTGACCCTCTCTGCTCGCTTATCGCTAAAGCTCGCCTCGCTTTTTCATGCTCCGTCTGACGAAATGCCATTACACATTTTGCGTTCCCCTAAAAACAGCAATGTTGCCGCACAACAACGCCAACACCAACAACAGCACTACCCCATTCAAAGCGACAACGGCAACGACAACGACAATGGCGGCGGCAGCAGACAACAACAACACCAATAGCAACAACACTGGTACAAGCAGAGCAGCAGCAGAGCAAACAAACAACGCAAACACATACAAGCACACACACAGATACAGACACAAACACAGACACAAACACAGATACAGACACAGACACAGATACAGAGACAGAGGAAAAATAAACGCTGGGGGTTGTAGAAATGAAGATAAGCTGCTTATCAGCGCCATTCCCAGTAGTTGCCCGTTGTTCATTCGTTTGACTCTCTCCTCTCCCCTCCTCCTACTTGCCACCCGCTTCAGCAGCCCCCTCTGCGGCTCCTTTTTCTTCTATTCTTCTTCTTCTGCAGCACTTTGCCTCCGAATGCGCTTTAAGTGGTCGCTTGGCATTCGCCTGCAAAGCTTCCCGGCCGGCTCATGGAGCTCCTCCGCAGTCCCCTCCCACCGCATGTGGAAGCGACTGCGGATGTGGATGTGGATGTAGACGCCAACTGGCTGGCAACCACGGCCAGTGGCTCTCGGAAAGTGGCTTCGTTGGCCCAAACATGGCCATTGTCATCGTAGCTGCATTTTTTCCACTGCCAAGTTCCTTGCTCCGTCAGGCGAGAATAAGCTGGACTAGGCGATGCGCAGTAGTCCCATCCGAAGGACGCAGAGCCGGTCCGAAAATAGTCCGTTCTGATCAGACTCGATTTCTAGTGACCTACTGTCCTCATAGGGAGGCCCTCTGGTACATTCTTAGTATAGGTCTTTGGATATTAACTTTGAAGACTTCAACTTGGATATCGAACTAAACTTTAAGTCACAACACAACTTTTATAATTTTAGGATAAAATGCCAGGACATTCCTTGCAAATCCTTAGTTTCGCAAAACTAATACGCCTTGCAAGAGAGCTGCAAGCTGAAAATGGCGCTTTCCTTGCTTAATATTACACTAATGCATGCAGCATGGCACACAGACCCTGCACCGCCCACGTCCCCCGGTTTAAGTGTGTTTAAGTGACATCATAGCTTTTGCAAATGAGAGTTGATAAGCTCCTTCAGCCTGACCCCGCGCCTGATGGGGATCTAATTGGAGGAGGATGCTCCTAAGTTTCCGCATAAAAATGTACATGACGCATACGCACCGTGGCCCCCGGTTCCCATCCGCTTGCCATTCCCATTCGAGCGCTCCAACTGTAAGCGCCTTAAATCTGGAATCTAATTACGGGCGGGCCAAAGACAAAAGTCCAAAATATTTTCCACCGGGTTTTAATCACAGCTGACGGCCATCCTCGCCATCCGAAATGTGAGTGAACATTTTTGAGCGACTTTCGCTGCTTTTGTTGCTGTGTTTAACCGCGTGAAATAATCTTTGCTGGCAGGCAGTCGTTGGAAGTCCGGCAGCAGTTCCCCCTCGTTTTTGTTGTCGTTTCCGCAGCCAGTCTGCCAGCCCGGCCCCTGGTCCATTTGTCCAGTCCTCCTGCTTGATGCGGCAAGAGGCGCGTTTCATTATGACGATAATTCGCAGGTCCTGCGGCGAGGCGAGCACAAGGCACCAGGCAGCAGGCTGCGGACGAGCAGGCAAAGTTGGTGTCATATTTTCCGCAGCTTAAATTTTCCGCAGCCCAGCGAGGAGGCCGACGGCCACTTGTGAGCCCAGATTCTTGTGCCCCTCCGGTCCGGCTTAGAGCGGCACACCAAAAGCAGCACAGAAAGTGGAGGCCATTGAGGCAGGAGGGCTGGAATGCGATTACGGCACAGAGGGCCCTCTTGAAGCTGCGCTCCCTAGACTAACTATTACAACTAAGCCGCCAGCAGCTCACACACGCACCCTGGATCCTTCAAGGGGGATTAGGACGAGGACAAGGAGCCGGAGCCAGAGATGAGGACGGATATGATTTTCGCGCCCGACAAATCTCAACAAATTTGAAATTTTGTTTCTTGGCCGTTGGCGCTTCCGTTTGTTGCTTTTTATTAGGCTTTTTCCTGTGTTCAGTCCTTGGCTCCCGGCGCTTGGATCTGGGGAGTATCCTGTTTGCCGTGCGCTCCCCGCGTCCACTCCTCCGTGGCAGGACCTCGGAATGCTTTTTAAGCCTATAAATGAGCTTAAAATTTTCTATGCGAGTGAATGCGAATGCTTTTGAAATTTATTAGGGCCCAAGGACTGAGCAGGATAAGTGTGGAGACACACACACACAATCAGAGGCCGACACCCTCGGATTCTGTGTGTGTGTGTGCGGGCATTCGGTGTCCCCCTGCCATCCCCCACCGTAGTCCCATCGCCATAGAAATTTCCAAGCGCGCCAAATTGAATTTCATTTGTATGTTTTCCTCTTATTTTTATTTATATCGCGCCGCTCCTCGTTTGGAAATTGCCTTTTGCCTGGTAATTTTCAGAATTTTAGAGTTCTGAATCTATGGGAGCTCTGCCTGTATCTGTATCTCTGTATCTGTCCTTTTTATATCCGTGCATGTTTGTTTAGAAGTGCCCGAAAAAGGAAGCATCGCAAAAGAATACAAATTGAATTTTCTGCGCTGTTAAATAATTTCATTTTGATTTCGTTGCTTTCGCCTGATTTTTGTGCCTCGCCTTCAATGCGAGCTGATTGCAGCCCCTGCCGCGCCTCGCTCATCCCTGCCCCATGCCGTGGCGCCACTAAATCCATTTGCAGCTGTTTCCAAATTCACGAAATACTTTTAGTGTCAAATGTGCAATGATTTCAGCCATTTACAGAGCGCCCCACAACGAACGAGTGCACTGGGACAGAGTGGGATTTATCGTCATTTATTTTTCAGGGACTTTCAACCTTTCAAAATTCAATTAAAAACGAAGCCCGGACTTTGCGCTAATTTTCGTTCTGTTGCAGGCTTCCTCCTGGAAGGAGTCACACCCACGGCCCCACCGGATGTTCCGCCCCGTAACCCCACAATGAGTCGCTTGCAAAATGGCCGCCTAACCGTTACCAATCCCAATGACGTCGACTTCGAGCCTTCCTGCTTGGTGCGAACGCCGTCCGGCAACGTTTACATTCCTAGTGGAAATTTAAGTGAGTACCCGACACACCTCTGCTACGGATACAGCCCATATGGCCGTGTCCTATTCATCTGCATGTATTTCCCATTTCAAAACCGAGCCACCGAGGCAATTTTCCTAGTCATATGCAAATCCAACCCGCATCCAATCCCGGCCAGGGCCAGGACTCCCCGCCACTCCACGGCGGCCATCAAAAAGCCACTTGACTCATTTAAATGTTTAGCGCTCGCATCGGGCACAGAAATTCCATTTGCCATATTGCCATAAAAATGAAAAATGAAAAAATCGAACCCGACCAGTGGCAGTTGGGAGTGGGTCTACCCCGTCCAGGCAGTCCGGGGGGAAGCGAGAAAGCAAAAGGCCGCAGCATTTTGCAAATTTTCAGCTCTTTTGTTTCCTATGCGCCATGCGCCTAAAATGCCGCCATACATTTGCCATTTATTGTTTTTCCAACAATGTTCTTTGCCTTTTTTCCTGCGGACTGGCAGGACTGCCTGGACGGGTGCTGGGGCTGTGGCTGAGGCTCTCGCTCGGCCAGAGTTGAGTTTTGTTTGTGTTTTCGCTCTATGCATATCCGCAAGCGGGCTTTAGGGATAAAAACATTCGAAAGTAGAGTGAAATAGTTGGCAACAGCGGCCGAGGCAGCGGCCCAATAAACCGAAAAAAGCCAAACGACCGCAGGGGCCTAAACAAAAAATCAGGAAAAAAACCAAAAATAAACTGGCTAACTGGCGACTGGCAAATAGCGCGAATGGCTGTCGGATGGCTATGATGGAAAGCGGTTCGACGGGGAGACGGCATTTATAGGTCTATTAATTGAATGGCTTTCATTAGAAGAGAGGAGAACTCATTTATGCAGCGACTTCTTGTGCGAGGTACTGGCAGCCATCGCCCCAAAAAGCCAGCAACAAAAGTGCCAACCGCACAATGTTGCTTTACTTTTCCTTTCCCCAAACAACCTGAGGTCCTTCCAAGTCCACATCCCTTTTTAAACAGAGAGCCTCGTGTGAATACATGTGTGTAGTGCAAAGTGGACGAAAAATTGCACACATTTTTTCCACACAATACTCCCAGAACACTCTATAGGCTTTGAACAGCCTCTTGCCAGCTAGGCATCGCTTTTCTCGCAGTGTACTCCTCCGGCTGCCTCTGTGTTTGCGATACACTGCCTTTTGTTTTGCTCCGGCATTGTTCAAAAATACACGCACACGTACGGGCGGGGCGGAGCGGAGCGGAGCTGCCTCTGATGGTATCGTATGTGTGCCACGCTTTGTCTTGATTTTGCTGCATGCCACATAATTTTCCACTGCGTGTGTACTTTTCCCATTTTTTAGCCAAGCTCTGGCGCAGCTGGGCGAGTGGCACAGTTTTTGCTGCAAAGCTTAGTTGCGGACCGAATTTCAGAATTCTACGCACTTTAATCTGACAGATCGATTTCCATGTCACTCTGCCAAAGTGTCCGATGGCTCGGCAATTTGCATTTTGCATATCGTTTATGGACCCTGGGCCAAAGTGCAATTAAATGACTATTTATGAAATTCTATTTGCATTTTTGCATAAATTGATAAACATCCTAAACCTGCTACCGCAAAGTACGCACGACTCGGGCAGAGGGATGCTGCTGGGGATGCTCGGTAGGCCCGTTGTCATCGAAACACAAATATTGATTAAATTCTACATCGCATTGAGATTCAGTTGCCCCGCACACATGTCTGTGTATGAATAAACATATAGACTCGCAAATGTGTGACATTTGCAAGCGGGGGTTCGGGCTCGGGCTGGGGGTCGGGCTCGGGCTCGGGCTCGGGCTCGGGATCGGGATCGGGGTCCTCTGGGCTCCCATGAGCTGAAACATTTCCATTTCAATTTTTGCGCCAGTGCCAATTTTTATGGAAAATATTATTTGTTGACTTCTGGCGCCCAAAAAGCGAGCAAAAAGGAAGCGAGGAAAGAAAACTTGAAAACGAATGAATCGGGCAACGGATTGCGGCAACAGCCTACGTTATTTTTCTGTCAAACTTTGTCCATAATACACACTCGAATGTGGCTGGAAAAATCTGAAAATTCCCTCGATGGGGCATGAAAAAATGCTTATGCTCCGTATGCAAATACATATAAAAATTGGCATTCTGCACAATTGCATGCCCGCACGCACCCACTCTCCGAAGACAGCCACCCACCTTCCCTCGCGGAGTTCTCTGAGGGCGGGAGGAGCGAAACAAAAGTTAGCCCAGAGTACTGTGTGTGCATATCCCAGCAGAAAAATTGCATAAATTGCCGCAGCGTAAAAAACGAGAGGGTGGTGGGGTGGCAGTGGGGTGTGGCCTCTCAAAACAAAAGCTCCAGTGGTGCTCCGGCGGTTCCGGTGCCGCCAAGCGACAGCTGTTTCCGATTCCGGTGCCCGTAATTTGGCGCGTCTCTTAAACCTTTAATGGATCGGTGGCCAGCTCGGCCCGACCCGTTCCCGATTGGGGTGCACTTTGCACCGAAAATTGTTAATGACTCGCGATGGGGCCGTGGATACTTGTAGGGGCAGCCTGGTCCTCTACAATCGAAGAGGCCGGCTGGGCAATGGGCATGCAGACCCCAGGGCTTCCGGCCCTCGAAACTTTTCACCTCCCTATCCGTCCAGCAATGCCACCTTTTTATATTATCAGCCCATTGCGGTATTTTGATGCACTAAGGCAGCCCGGCCTCCCCGCTCACCTGGTCCTTAATTTTTTATCGCTTTCGAGGTTAGTTTGCAGAAAAACTTTCCGCTGTCATTGACCGCGTCAACTTCCCCAGAAGGCCAGACAAAGTTCGTCGAGCGATGCGCCTAGACTGTGTCTGCTGTCTGGTGTCCGGCGTCCGGTGTCTGGTGTCCGTTGTCCACTGTCCGCCCGTGTGTCCTTCAAGCAAAGGCATAGTGGCCTGGCCAGTCAAGAGTCGAGAGTCCAAAGTCGAGGCTCTAGTTCTGTGTCTATTGGCCAGTCGTTATAGCTCTGGTCTGGTTCTGGTGCTGGTTCTGGTTTATCGAAGCTGCCAGCCATGGCAATACTCGTAAATTTGCGAGCATTTTGCAAAACCTCAACTGACCTCCCATCCGAGGCATGGTTATGGAGATCCAGAAAGGGCTTTAAATTCGTAGGGGTCAGAAGGAGCGCCACTGAGGCAGTGGGGGAGCGGCAGCTCGTTTTGGTTTTTGCCGCTGCTACTAAATTCATTCATAATGGGTTTTTGGCTCCACTCAGTGTACAGCACCGCCCCCAGCCCCACGCTTGCCCCGCATAGTGTGTATAAATTTAACGTTTTTACGCAAACTGAAATTTATTATGGCGCAGCATAGTAATTTATATTTTATGCCTGCTAAGTACGAGCCGGTGGTGGCGGTAGCCTGGGGCATATCCTTTGCTCTGCACTCTTGACGCACAATTTTAATTTTATCTACTGCACCGTGTGGCGTTAAAAAAGAAAGCGGGCGAAAGCTCTGCCACTTCCATTCGATCTATGCACGCTGCGATTCGGCTGCCACTTTTTGTGGCGCAACAAATTGCCTTCGTGTTCCGCTTGCCACTTTACTTGCCATTTATAAATGTATGCTCGGATGTGTAGCGGAGTGTATCTGTGTGTATCTGCAATGCATACATCAGGATATGGGCGTGGGCCTGGGCAGGGGCGGTAGGTGGGAGCCATGGCCATTTCGAATGGTCCTTGTACGTGGGTTTAAGTCCGGCTGCCGGCGTAGTTGTTGTCGCTGCATTTATAGACCGGGCCATAACCATTTGGCCACTAGAAATTGGCATTTTATGTTCGGCTGTCTGGCCCCCTCCCTGCAGAGTGTGTGTATCCTTTGATTTTTGAATGCAGATTGTTGCGGGATTTATTGATATTAAGTGCTATCGAACCGACTGACCCGAGTGCCTCTGGCCCCAGCTCGTCTTTCCGGTCGAGCGGCCCTGACTACATGGCAGTTTACTTCCTATGCCACTTAATTAGGAGCTGGGAGCTGGAAGCCGGGTGCTGGGATAAGGTATCCCAACTTTGGCTTCCGAATTTCTTAAAGCATACTTTCAGGTGCGCACACGAAATAACTTGCTTCCTTTGAACCCTTTTCTCGGGTTTTCTCAGCCGCCTCCTCTAGCTGTGTTCGGTGAAGCCATGCAGAACATTAACAAAACAATGTTTGCCTCCCCGCCCACCAGCCTCGTCCTTGCCGACGCAGCTGGCCCTCCTCTGGGACTCGGAGGCTGCATAATTATGAGGCCTTTACTGCAAGGATGCGGCGGAGGTGTGCTGGTTAGAGGGTCTGCATAATTTATATGTTTTTAATGATTTCGTCTTTCGCAAACAATTTTTAATGATTTTCAGATGGAAACATTGCGACACTGTTGTGGCAGTGCGCCTGTTGTGGCATCTATGTGTGTAATTAAAATTGCAACTCACCCAGCCCTGTGAGGTGCGCCTCGACTCCGTCTTTGCTGCAGCTTATCTCCCGCCCCTTGCCACACACCCTGCACACTCTGCATGGACATGCAGGAATAAATATGTTAATTAAAATAATGTTACCCCGGCGCACAAAAAAACCAGCAAATGGCTTAGAATAGCAGCGCTCTTTCACGGAGTCGAGAGGACCAAAGAGACCGGTCCCTGCAGGCTTGCTTTGTCGCCATTTTGCATTTACATGCCACGCTCAACGCCTTTCAATAGGCGGCTCCCTTCCCCTCCAAGGCGCACATTCCTCGGCATTACGTATACGCAGGGTTGGCGAGGCAGCTCGGCAGCTCGGCAGCTCTGCAGCTCAGAAGCTCGGCAGCTGGGGCAAGCGATGGGGCAGCTGCATAGAATGTAAACAAGCAGGAGCTGCAGTAGCAACCGCAGTGAAGAGTGACTTCCGTTGTGGGAAATGCCTGCAGTGTCTGGGCCCCGTCTTTTGTGTCTTATTGCTTATTCAAAATAAATTAAAAATGGAAGAGGAAATGCAGAAGCGGAGGCCCGGACAAGCAGTCAGCCATCGCATAATTATAAACTTGAAAATTCCTGCATGCGGAGGCAGAATCCTCGGAACCTGGACGGGGGACTCGGCATAATTACTTTAAAAAGACGCCTCGTATTCCCCGGCCATTTACTTTCTCCGCCAGCATCTTGAGACACGTCGAGGGCCCGAGTCCTTCCAGGGATTTGTTGCCTCGGAGCACAGCATGGCTCCGTATGCATTTTTAATTAGAATATTTTAGGCTATGAGTCAGTGGCACAAAATGGGAACATTCCCTTCGACATTTCAAGGTCTTGGGGCGGAGCTCCATGCGAATGATGGGTTGCAGCAGGACGATGTGTGACGTGCCATGCCTTTTCCAGTCCCTTTGCCCGCCACGCTCTTACGGTTGCCCGAGGTCATTGCAATTTTGCTGGGACACGAGAGTGTCTGCCACTCGCCGAGGACACACAACTGCATGTGGGGGCCCGCTTGCCACAGCAACGTCACAACCGCCGCTGCAACTTCTCGTTCTCTTGTATGAAAATTCATTTCAATTAGTGAAATGGTTTTGGGATTTGTATGGCAAACCACCATCGCGCTTTCGCTGAGACAGGCCCTGCGAGGCGGAGGGAGGCATACGTCACTTCACAGGCATGCATCGTGGTGCATGGCCAGAACCAGAGGCAGCGCTTGTTGCAACTCTATTTACCTTTGCGTGGGGCATGAATGGTAAATAGAGACACAAACGGGCGGGGTTCCATGTGTGTGCAGTTCTGCGGCATGGGATTTGCGGCGGGATTATGAGGCACGCAAGAAACTATGACGAATTTTTGCCTCACTCAACGCCCCTCCCCACGGCTCCTTAAGGCGGCCATTGAACTACAGGCCCTTGATTAAAGGGAGAAACACGTTGGAGGGGGAACCGCCTTGCAGAGGGAACCGCCTTGCAGCGCAAAGTATGCCAAGGAAGCCAAGCCGGGCAAATATTTAAATTTTAATGCAGAGCGAGGAAAGCAACTTTGCGCTACGTAAATGTGTATTTAAAACTTTTTTGCTTGCAACTTGCCACTTGTTCCTGGTGCCATCCCGCAGCTTGTTTGGGCAACGGAACAAACTCGTTTTCCTATCTGGGAGCGTGTCTCTCCGGGTCGGAGAACCCCGGCACTCCACCACTCCTGCAGTATGCGCCGCAGTTCTGCTCAAGTTGCTCCCTCGACGACACTTTTTTGACGCCGTTTTATCAGCGGACCACCGCAGTGAAATTTATGCAACTAACAAAATGTTTATTTCTGCACTTTTATCGTCCTAAGCGCTTGCCGAAAAGGGGACCTCAAAGAGGAACAATCCGGGCGAGATGTACTTTTGTTTTCTGCGGGTTCCGGGGGGAGTTCCTTCTCCAATGGAACTCGCAATCCAACACGATTAAGAACAGAAAACTTAATCGTAGAAAAAGCCTTGACTTGTAACTGCTTTGACCCCCAAAAGTGACCGAATATGGACCACACACGCCATCCTGGCAGATGTAGTGGCCAGAGAAAGCTTACTTTCCCGAACGGCAGTGGAAAAGTTTCCTGTGCGGCAGACAGGGGGCAACATATTGTCGCACTCTATAAATTATGCGCATAACCAGAGAAACTCGATCCCCTCCAAGGAACGGGAGCAGCAAGACAAGGGACCTGCCGAGCTACCCCCGAATCCTGGGCAGACTTGGCTTGGCTCGGTTCGTTTCGGTTTCTGTCTCGAAAGAAAGAGAAACCAACCAAGCAGAACTATTACTGTGGCAAAAGTTTAACCAGTCATCTGGAGTCCCATCCACTTCCACTCGCACTTCCACTGCCTCTGCCACAACCACTTCAACTCCCACTCCCAGATATTACAATTTTCTTTCCGCCCAGTTGGACGGGTTTAAATTTACTATTATTGCCCTTCCTCGTACATGTGTAATGGGCCCAGGCTGACAGGAGGAAACCACAGGCCTTGGTTGGAGGACTGTATACAGGCATGCCTTTGCCAAGGTGGGCTGGCGGAGCGGAAGCTTTCCAGGGTTGGTTATGGGCCTCAAAACTTGTCATACTTGTCAGCAAAAAGTTTTGCTTTTCGGCAGGGTGGCGGCCAGGTGGGGCGACTGCGGTTATTAGCTAACCTAATCAGCATCGCAGTTCGCAGCGAGCCCGGATTATCAGGCCGTCTTTGGCCTCTTGCCTCATCCGAGGTGGGGCTTTGGGCGGCTGGGCGCACGTGATTGATAAATGAGATTTAGCTTTGGCCTTGTAATTATATGCAACGTGTGCAGGCCGGATGGCTCCTCTTGGGCGACAAAGACGCCGAGACATGCTCAGATAATCACAAACGACATAATCACAGCAATTAGGAGCATTAGTTTATGGTCAAGTAGCAGTCGGATGGCAGGACGGACAGGGCAGCAGACTGCCAGTTGCTTGCCTGGTTACGTCAGTTAGCCGGTCAGTTAGTTTGTCAGCTGGAAAGATTGGCCACGCCCCAATTATTCGGTCTCCTGAATGCCGAATCCTGCCGCCAGGCTTACCTACAATTGACAGCTGAGTGACATTTGGGACTTATGCCTGGCTTATATTTTTCCCCGTAAGACGGCCATCGAGTTGATTTTCATTATTCAAATGTCGCACCCGCATGACAGACATTCCGTAATCCCGGCTTAGTCTTTCATCAGACAAACTGATTAGGCCCAGGACCCAGCACTGATGACCACAATTGCCGTTTAATTAGAGACCAGGCAGTTCGGAAACCTGACAGCGTGGAAATCTGTGCGAGTTGGCCGGGCAGGTCGAGGAGCTGTCATAATCATTGCGCAGCCAGGCTGGCACTTCCGGAAGCAACCTCCCCAAGAAGGGTTGGCCTGAGACAAAGGCGATGCATTATTCAGCCCGCCCTCATTAAATATTGATCCGAGTGCTTTTACGGAAGGTGATTTGGGGCGAGCTGCCCGCCTCGGTCTGATCAAAACAATATCAAAACCCGTGGCTCGTTTTCAACTCGGAACTTTGTTTGATGTTCAGTCGAGTGTGGGTTAGTCGGATGGAGATTCGAATCCATTCTGGCCATAGTTGGCAAACTATCAGTGCATGCGACAAACACATGGAGAGAGCTATAATTAATAATTAAAACACATGGTGGTTCCCTGACATTCCCAACGCATAATGGCTTTAAACTTGACTGCATTGGCTTGTTTCTGTTTGCTCTGGGGTTTTTTATTCGCCGCACAAAACATTAGCCAATTTCATTTTTCCATAATTTATGGGAAATGTATTAGTGGCTGAATGGTTTGTAATTAGCCGTCATCCACCGGCCACCACCGGGCTTTAAGCCCAGTTTCAGCTGCAATTCGGCTGCTGGCGTTAAAGCTTGCTTTTGACGCTAATGCCTGCGAAAATAAAGCCTTCCGCCCACGTTCGTAGCCAATAAACTTTTGACCTCATTTCCTCGAAAAAAAGCCAGCCACCACCCACCCACATAAACCAAATGCAGTCCACTGGGGGCGGAGTCGAAGGGAGCAAAACATCGCATGGAAGGAGTCTGGTAGTGGCGACCTGGGAGGACTAACTGGGCCGGAGAGATTCCGCCTGGGCAGGTTTCGAATAAATAAAATAAAACACAAACAAAAACAAAAACGAAACCGGAATAGGATGCCGAATCGCAGAGCAAGAGGAGACTAAGTGAAAATATTTACTCTCCCCGTGGCAGTGGAATGTTATTTTTGCTTTTGTGGCTGATGTTGCGCTGCCCACAGCAAGGATTATAAATTATAACAGCCTCACACGGTTATTTATGTCGTGTCAATGGCAGGGGAGCGGGGGCGTCAAACGGAGCGGGATATATCATCAATGCATGCGCTTAGTTGAGTGGAAAAATCTGCAAAACGAAAACTATGGGGACTGGCGCCGCTTTAAAGCCGAGCAGGGTGAGAAAGAGGGCCTTAAATCCGAGCTAGTCAACCAGAGGGCACCATTCCCATTCCCATTCCCACTCCCGTGCCACTGGGCTAAGCCAGAGATCTGCTTTGAAGCTTTTGATTTATTTGCGTCATGGCAAATCATTAATTTGTTTTCAGAGCAAACCGTTTCGGAACCAAACTGAACCGAAAGGAAGCACAAAAAGCTTAGCATGCTTTTCGGCTGCTGTCAGCTTTTGGGCGACAAACAACCACCCACACACCCAACCACCCAGCCGCCCTGCGAAGCCCAAAGGAAAAAATTTAAATAAAACCCAAGCCAACAAAATAATCCGACACATTCGCTGCCAAATGATTGCCCAAGCCCCCACCCTATCCCCCTAATACCATGTGCAGTTTCTTCCTTCCCGCCCCGCCCCTTGTCGTGCTGTATCCTCAAAGCTTGCCACAAAAACTGGGAATCACTTCTCTTTATTGTGCCCGCAGAGAAAGCCGAAAGCTGACAGTTGGAAGCCAGAATGGGACAAAATTATTAGTCCAAATTGAGGAAGTGAAAAAACATTGCGTTTTGGCAATATCTGTTTTCCGGGGCTCTTCTTATCTCTCAATCAAAAGGCCAAGAAACTCTCTACAGAGCGGTGATCGTAGACTCCTAATTTCTGCCTTGTTGACGATCATCAGACGAATCTTCTGTGTCACTGAGCTGGATCCGCTTGACCAGATTCACCGGGTATCCATCACCGTAGTGCATCCCGCATTTGGGCTCGAACACCCGCTTCTTGACTCCCTTGTTGGACTTCACAGCCCGATTGCTTGGGCTCCTCGGGCGCTCGTCCTCCAGCAGGTTGGTGACAGAAGCGGGCATCCAGTGCGCCTCCACAAAGTCGTTAAGCGGCTCCTGCACCAGCTGGGCGTTGCTGTCATGCAGGAGCCCCACCGAACGCTTCTTGGGCAGAATGGGATCGGGTATGTCCTGCCGCTCCCAGATGCCCTGCTTGTACTGGGAGCCGTACTTCATCTCCATCCGACGCTCCAGCTGCACGAGTGCTTCCGACGGTTTCTTGACCACGGGCTTCTAACGGTATTCAACAAGGACCAGATTTATGGCTAGAAAACCGAGGTCTTTGGCCCACTTACCGGCTTTTTCATATGCATGTACCCAACAAGGCTCGCAGATGTGAGAAACAGGACGGCCAGGCAGGCACCCACGAAAGAGGGGCACAGCTCCGGGCTGCTGACCTTGTGGGTGATTTTGAGCGCTTCCTGGGCGAATGGAGGGTACAGGAAGCTGATGACCTTGTAGGTGGCATTGGCCGTCGTCTGGTTCGGATAGGACTTCCCAATGTCCTCGAACCGAAGCGACCAGTGTGCGTCCTCTGGGGGAAGCGTAAGCGCCATAATCGTACAAAGGTGCAAACGAATGGCTTGTTAAAAATTTTAGAAAAAAATAGGCACTTCAATGAGCTATACACAAAATTTCGACGCTTCAGTAATGACTGATCTATGAAGAGTGACTGTTCTTCTGAAAATCCCGGCAACCCCTTTAGCAGGCATAGAAGCGTCGCCTACTTGGGTATCTCGGAACGTAGAATGATTTATTAGCAGGAGCAGCTGAGGCGGGAGGAGAAACAGCCCATCCCGGCCACCATCAGTCACCAGGCAAACAAACACGTCGAATACCCACAGCGCAACGGCGTCATATACAAAAAGGACTTGTATGCATTAGTCCGGACTCCGGACTCCGGACGCCAAAGCCAGAGAGCCGAGCGCCCGGGAGAGCCGAGGGGCGCCGAGACGGGGACGTGTGTTTTCAAGTAGAAACACGTACAAGAAATCATGAAATGTTGCCGCCATCATACCGAAAATTGTACGGGTAACGTGCAAGCAATCAAAGCGTACGGAGCCAGTCTCGACTCGACTACGGCGCCATTTCTCCGGCTCTCCCTGCGCTTCACGTCTGATTTTTACTGCACACGTGTGCTGATGTGACGTCGACAGGATTGCTACTGCCTACTGACAACACCAGCCGGCCGGGCTTAGGCCGGGAGCGAGTCGGCCCAGACGTGCCAGGCCGACGTCGTAGAGGTTCCTTTTTACTGTTTAAGCAAGCATGCAAATGTCACATGCAGTGGAGGAGCGGCCTAGACGGCCTCGACGGCCTCGACTGCTCGACTGCCTCGACAACCTCGATGGGGGCGGGTGAGGAAAGGGGGCGTGATAAGCACTCTCGGTTATCAACGTGGGCCTGCATACTTTTTGGGCTCTACATCCAGGGCCCTCCATAAATGATGAGGCACGGCACTCTTGCCTTGGGCTGAATTTAGTGATTTCCCCGAGCATGTGGCATACTTTCTGTACGAGCACACACCACGTGAGCATAAGGTATTTCTGTTTATGGTTATTGATTCTGCCGGGCGGAGGTGGGGATAGTTTGAGTTATGACCGTGGGCTGATTTGTGTCAGCAGGAGTTTAAAAGAAATTGTTGCACACTTTTGGCCCTGTTACCATGATTGAATTGAGGTGGGTGGAGGTCTGCGCCCCTAAGCCAGATTGGATTGGCCCGGACCGGATAGGAATTCCGATTCTGATTTCAACTACTGCGTCGGATCAAAAATTCATGCCGCACTCTCGCGCCGGATAGGTGTCAATAACTTGGCTAGTTTACCGACACTTACCACTCGCCCGTCCAAAACTCGCCCGGAGGCTTCCCTGCCTCCTGCGTAATTTACAATTACCGCACGCACAGACAATTTATTTTCCAGCGCCAACAAATAAGCTGAGGATTCTCGGGCGGGGTGCTCCCGCCTCGCTCCCAGGTGTATTGCAAATCAAAAAATCAGGCAGGACTGGGCACGAACCCAAGCCCAGGCAATCAGTTAAATGTTTGTTGAACTCGCCAGCGCCGAGGTCCTTAAGTTCTCGAGAACCCCGGACTCGAGCACTCGAGGAGTCCCATGAGCTTAGCGTCTCTGCAACGAGAACTGCTGCCGAAAATTGTGTTTTTTCTGGCACCCCACAGCAAAGCGAAACCACAGGACCGAAGGAATAAAAAAAAAGGAGCTGGAGCTGGAGCTGGAGCAGGAGCAGAAGCTTTGCAGTATAGTAGAAAACAGAACGATGAAGCGCCAACTTGAAAAATCGCCTGTCGGGGTGACAGCAGCAAAGGGGGTTCGACTCACGCGCAGACGTAGTGATTTGGCTTTAAAAAAGTAAAGAAATGCCGGAGCAGCCGGAGCAGCCAGGGCGGAGCAGGAAGTGGGGCTCGGGGAAAGCTGCCACGTAATGAAACTGACAATTTAACTCACAGTCAGTCAGTTGTTTTGGGTTTCGGCCCGGACCGGGTGGTTGCGTGCGTGCTGAAAAATCGTGTTATCGATTTAATGTGTGCGAAGGGTTTTGGCTTCGAAAAGGGTCGGGAGGGCTGCTGCCACTTTCCTTTGCCTTTGCCTTTGCTATTGCCTTTGCTTTTGGCTTTTATCGTTCGGCTCTGTCATTGCGACTGTCTGACGATTCCGTGTTTGTTTGCCAGTCCTGCCTTTTGACGGCTTTCTCCTGCTCGCCCCCTTCCGATCCCAATTCCAATCCCATCCCGCCCTCAAAGCTCCCAGTCGGAAGAGCTGCAAAGGCATTTGATTAATTTGCAGCAGTTTTCAATTTGAAATTGCTTTAGTTTCCTGCAGTTTTTACCATTTGCCAGTGAGCAGGAATTGACAGCACTTTGGGGCAACTCGCAATCAGTCCCCTTTTTCTTAGCCATCCCGCTCTAAGCCGTTGCCCGAAAACTTGGTTAAATGTGTGTTCAGGCGAGTGTGGGCTGCGAGCGGAGGGCCATGGGCTGAGTATGTGAATCGTTGAAAGCTTCTTATGGAATGTTAAGTGATTTTTTATTGAATTTTTAAGCCCCACTTAGGCGTTGTCACTGAGAGTATCCAGCTGGAGCCCGACGAACCTTTTACCTCAGCTCTATCCGGTTCGGCGTGCAGCTCTTCTGGCAAATTAACAACCTTTTCGTGTCTCCTTCAACGTAATTTTACGTATACGCACTTTTATGACTATGGGGGCTCTGAAGGATGGATTGAAAAGCTGGCCGAATATTGCCATTTTACGGCGGAGGAAAGCTGATTACGGGGAGCCTTGCAAGTGCCCTGGAATGCAAAGAACTTTCTGCTTCGGCAATAAACGCTCAAATGAAAAGGCAAACAATGCCGCCGGCCACAATGATCAAATTTAACGCCCTTTTTAAACAAAACAAAAGCCGTTTTTCATGGCAGACCCAGCCCAGTGCAGACGCTGCACAAATACGCACCCTCGCAGTGTTGCATGTGGCAACAACCGATGCACACATGCATACTAATTATGGGAATGCACCGCACATTTAAGCAAATATAAACAAAATGTTAATGACAATAAACAGCAACGTCAAAGTCGAACAGTGGCAGAGGCAGGAGCGGTGGCACGGGCAGTGGCATGTACAGGACAGGGGGCGAGGATGTAAAGGATGTAAATGATGCTGATGCATCTGTCTGGAAGGATATGGAACGTGCCTGTGCGAGCACTGGCAACTTGATGAACTGCTGCTGCGACAGCTTATCGCATTGCCCCCGATAACTGGTGGGGCATGCAACGGATTCATGTGCTTATTGTTATCCTCGTGACTGCTGCATTGTGATTACTATTATTAAATTGCAAATGAGACATGCACTCCCATCGAGCCGGCGTTCATTTATTGCCACAAAATGCAGCCGAATCGAATGAAGACGCACTGCCGCCGCCAGAGGACGCACCCATTCATTTTCCCCGTCGCAGTTTTCGCAGGACGACAGACGTCCCGTCAATTGTTGGTTGCCTGTCCATTAACATAATTTCAATTTGCATAAAATGGCGTTGAATATTACATTTTGGACAGCAGCTGCCTGCCACGTCTGTCAGGAGGAGGGGCCAGGTTCGGGGAGCCGTGTGTCCGTCCGCGAAGCGGGTTCATTGAGTTAATTGCAGGTGCGAATGTGTCGCAATGAGCATTGCACACCCTGTCAGGCACGCAATTCGCCGAGGGACGAGGAACGAGGGGCGCGGCAGTCATTTGCTTTTGTTTGATGTTTAATTTAGATTGAATTTCTGCATAAATTATGGGGCACAGAAATGATTTCGAAATTATTGCTGGTTTGTTTTGCGGTCAATTTCCACTGCAACTATTGCATAATTCGGGGCTTCAGGCCAATTTAGCGGTGCCCGCACACAGGCATTTCAAGGATTCGGGACGCAGGACTCTGCATTCGGCATTCAGCATTCGGCATTCAGCATTTATGGAACTGCATTTTTTATTATGACCGAACCCGCACTCGCTCCTGCCGCGGGCTAGAGTGGCGGTTGCCACTCCAATCTCCGAGCTCCAAACTCCTTCCAGGCAATTTAGCCGAAACGAGGACTGCCATGGCTGCTGTCTAATGTGCATTTCACTTTTGCCTATCTGCCATCCGCCTCAGCCAGCTCCCCTCCTGGCCCACACCAACTGACACTTCACACGCTCAACGATTTTTGATTTGGCAGCTCGTTTGGCAAAATGCAGCAACAGCAACAGCCAGAGCCAGAGCCACGAGGAACCCCCAGATACCCCCAGAAATCACCGCACGAAGCAAACCAAAGCGATTCACCCGCCACGTCGCTCGCTTAGCGCATTTGCCAGTGATTTTATGCATATTTCATAGCATACTTTTGTGCGCTATTAGCACTCTCGGCTTGGGCCTGAGCTCTCGAGGCGCGTCTATTCATTAGCATTCCCCAGCAGTGAGCCGTCGCTCGACAAGGACATCATCATTACTATCGAAACTTTGAAGTATTTCCAACTCGATTACCATAACCGAACTAAGAATCGTAATCAAATTTTCCCATTTGACACTAAACTTCCATGAAAATTAAAGGCAACGGGTTAGCAAGCTGAAAGCAGGAGTGGTTGTTTACGCAGACTGCTATTTGCTGGTTGCCCAAATTGAGTTAGTCAATTAGAAATTGTGTGCCTGCATTCAAAACGCCATCTTTCATTCCATTTGGCCCCTCGGGCACGCCACTAACTTTGGCCTATTTCGGATTCTCTCTCGACTTATCTCAATGCAGGGGGTTTTGGAACGCACTTACAATCGGGGAGAAGGCCCAGGGAGGCCCAGGCACCCTGACACCCAGTCTCCATTTAAAACGTTCTGGCCACAGAGCCAACTCCGAAAATGTTCATAGTCATAACCCAGTTAAGACCACAAGTGCTGGCATTGGCTTTGGCTTTTCTGTCTTCGCATCGTTTTCAGCTTCTAATGCTTTCTATGGGGACCAGGCGGATAATATAGAATTTTTAAGTATTTTTCCGTTCCTAAGCAAGTCAGCTAGTTTGTGATAACCCATCTTGGGGGTTGGGCGGAAGCTCATTAAACCCGAGTCCCCAAAACATTATGTGTAAGGTCCGTTGGCTGCTTCTCCGGAACACAAAGCCAAGCACATAGGCCATAAACTCATATTTTAATGCTCAGCATCTTGTCCGGGCCAGGTCACTCGCTGCACAAGCTATCAGAGCTCTTTCCAAACACTCGGAAGCTGGACACACATTCTAGGGGATTGACTCGGTCAATGGGTCGGGTGCGACGGAAATGGCTTTGTTGACAATAATCTTTTGGCATTATAACCAGGTGCCTGTCGAAAGTGCAATACATGCTGCAGAGAGAATTTCCACAAG